CGTAGTTAAAGATATCAAGTAGGCAATTAAATATCATAATCTTAAATATTTGTCGTTTTATGTTAACACAAACTACGATTTTCTAAAATAAACAATTTTAAAGAATTTCTCCAAAGCCACGATAAGGATATCTAAATATAACCTCAGATATAACCTCGAATTCGTTAACATAATAAAACAATAAATCGTTATTCACATATGCCACTTCAACGCGAAGTCATCATGTCCAGCGACGCGCGCCAGACACCAAAACAACCCAAAACGGTCGTCTTTAACCATTCAAAATTGAACCCTACTTGTTAAGGTTTAAGTACGTATATTGCTTGCAGCATTTTTGACCAAGTGCGTGAACTTAAGACGCTGTGTGACAAGAGCTCTATGTGAGAACGGATCAGAGAGTCCATTTCCCACGCGTGCCACAGTACTCATGTATAGGGTTGCCATTAATACGTTTTATTATACAAAACAATAAAAAAATAATTAAAATGTCTTACTGACAAAGAATGGTATGAAAATAATTCTCAATGTTTTTTATAATATCGTAATTGTTATTGAGCAGAATCGATTTATGACATAAAAAAAAAATACCTAAAGTCCTATTTTCGTATTTCTATTAAATACTTAGTTAAATGTACGATGAAATAAAACCAAAAGTCTCAAACTTTATTGCAACAAAAATAAACACTCCCTTATTACAAGTACTTACAGAACCTTAAAAAAATGCATACACGAATTAAGATGAACAAACTAAAGAAAAGCTAACTAAAACTAAATTTTAAACTAAGCTCTTCTTAATCTTTGATTACCATCATCTTTGATTCATACATGGAGATACATTGTCCCCTCAACTACAAGTCAAAGGGTCACCCTACCGGCAATAAACAAAGACACCCACGCCTCTGTAACCACCGACGTCCACTGTTAATGAAGCGACGTGATGCATAATACATGCAATGCTTAGCTATGCAATGCCTTTGATAACGAGACAAACATTCAATTAAAAAGTCAAATTAAAAAATAATCTAAGCCTGTGCCCCGTAACACAATGATAAACGTCACTGATTCAATTAACGTCTATTATTACGTGATAGGTAGAAGACTTTACTGACTTAAGTGTCTTCATAATAATGAAAATATATAATAACGAGCTGTTACCCGCGACTTCGTCCGCGTGGTATTAGAAAACATACGAACTATATAAATAACAAAAATCTACGTAACCCTCGGGAACCTGACATTTCTCAGGGATGAACCTCATCCCATGTATACTCCAGACTTAGTTTTATATCTGTGCCAAATTTTAAAAGGATATGTTGAACCGTTGCAGAATGATCGAGTAAACATTAAAAAACTGAAAACTAATGACAAGAAAATTGAAGAGAAAAAAAAAACTGAATATTTTAACTTTTTTTTTTATTTATCTTAGTAATATTATAAATGCGAATGTTTAGATGGATAGATGTTTGTAACTGCATGTCTTTAAAACGGCTAAACGGATCTTGCTAAAATTAGGCATAGATGTAGAACATAGTCTGAAATAACACTTAGAATTTTTTTAATTCGAGCGGACGGCAACTTAAAATCATTTAATCATTTTAGTTATATAGCGTTTTACCTCTTTTACGACATATTTGGTGCCTAAACAAGGCGACGTTCTTAACAACGCGAATTAGACTTCGTTTTTTTATATTTATTTCAATGCTATATATTTTCTTTATTTGACAGAAGCTACAAGTCTCCGTGGTATTGTATTTAAGCTGTGGGTGTCACTGATTACATTCTACAGCTAATTTGTATGCTGATTTGAAATTCTATACGATTTCTTTAAACGTAAACATTTATAACGATTATATGTGGCACGTGGGCGAGCATCCAGAAATATAAATAGCTTTGAACCTGTCCTTATCGATGTATATTATTAACAATTTATTATTTTTATTTACACACTAGCTGTTCCCGTGCGACTTCATCCGCATGAAATTATGAAAATTTCATTTTATTGTTTACATGTGTCAAATTATCAATTACAAGTGTCAAAATGACATGACATGATGACAACCTTGCTTCCTTGATGTTGGCAGCAACTTATGGTCTCTTTCCCACATTAGGGTTTTTATCCAAAATATTTGACTCCTAAGTTTAATGGCGTTAAAATATATAGTCTAAAGCGTGACGCAAGTGTAGGGCTTTTTATTAAAAAAAAGAACTATTCAAAAACATGCCGTAATTGCTGACATCTTAGGCAACAAAGAAGTGTGTGTTTACGCTTTATTATAATAGTATAGATTGAAATAAATTTAACGATATTAAGAGAATTACAAACATACATAATTAAGAGCTTTCGGGAGAAAACGGGATACTTTTTATTTGAAATAACAAATTCTTTTCCAAACACGATTAATTTCAAAATTACGGCAACGTCAAAATATTCTATATCATCTGCTAAAGAATACAATTTTTGAAAATAATGCATGTAATGAGGAACTAGGTACAGTATTCTGAGACTCGTGTGTCTCGCCGACACTGCAAGCAGTTAACAACAAAAACGTTAAGTTTTATTTTTCGCACAAACGCAACAATAGTTCAAAGCGCACGGCAGGCATTGTTTGCGCGAGCGCTGATCCTCCGCAAAGCGTCGCAGGAAGTAAACAGGTAATGCTACTTTCACACGAGGGTACTAAAGTAAGGCAGAGTAGTATACAAACCAGTACTGTAAATTTATTTAACTCACAACGCCGACCCAAAACATCAATCCTAATTAACCCCAATAATCGATATAACAATAATAGCAATTTTCGATACATCATGCCCATTTCTATACATTTTCTTTATATTCCTTTCAATAACGCTTATCAAATGTGAATTTCACCAACTGCTTACGTTAACAGTGAGTATACTGTCCAACAACTATAGTACTGCACTATCTATTGTTCTGGCTATGAACAACTGTTCTACCCTCGTGTAAACATAGTACAAAGATGAATATTAAATGTGCCGCTATCTTTTGCCTATTGTCTCTGAATCTGCGGCAAGCGCTTGTGTCTTACTTAACGTGTTATTGTTTTATAACATTCTATTGCTACAGAAAGTAAACTCGTAATGAATTGTGTAAAACTTTTTGTACATACTTTGCTCACCTAACGGTGTTCAAAGATTAAGTACCTAAGACAGATTACAAAAACTGTAACATTTTATTGTTTACTCTATGACCATTGTGCTAAATAATATACATCAAAGTACGTAATATATAGCAAAGACAATATATAAAACCTTCAAAGTGCTGTTTGGTTAAATCAAACTTAAAGTTTTAAAATGTTAAATACTTAGATAAAATTAATAACATAAGTAATAAATATAGTATTAATAATCATATTAAATATTAGTGTTGCTCGCACTTTGCCCGCGTGAAATTAAAAAAATATAGCCTAAGTTGCTCACAGATAAATTACCTTTCTCATGGTGAATGATTTTTTACATCGACCCAGTAGTTTTTATATGAATCGAATACATACATAAATCCAAAAATACAAATCTTTCCTGTTTATAATATTAGTACAAAGCAAACACAAAAAAAGTAAAAAAAAACTGCTTAACTTTATAACGCCTAGTGTTAATGAGGTCTTGTGTTTTTTAATGATTAGCAATTATTTTTCAAACAATGATTACAAGCAGTTTTAAAAGTTTTAATTATTTAATGACCAAAAAGGTTTAATCACAATACAACCTATTTAACAATCAAAGCCGGCGCGCGCCGAAACTTTACCTGCATAAAAATTACCGCTATGGTCGAATTGTGTCCTTTGAGTCGACCATTTATTACCTAGGGGTTGTTTTTGTTAGAAAAGCTTTTTTGTATCCATTCTTCAGCGCTAACTTCAAAGTGAAGTTGCGTTGCGGCATTTAACTTAGAAGAATCTGCCGTTATTAGCAAAAAGAACTCTTTTGGTTTTAATTATAAAATAACTGGCCGAAAAGACGAAAGCACAATAAGTAATTTTGCTAACGACTTATAGCCTTTTTTACGATAGTTTTCCTTCAGTGAATTGCACTGGATTGCATTTATTAATATGAAATATAACAGTCAAGGGCTAAAATATACATTTTTGTTACAAACTAATTATGTTAATACTAAATAACTACCTACTTATTCCTTGAATATGAGATAATAACAAAGTAATAAAATGCTTAATTTTATGTCACACAGAATACTATAAATTACATATTGATTTATGTGAATATTCAAAACTCTGTTTCCACATTGATAACGTAATTAAACAAGTTATTGAATTTACAACTTACACGTGCAAGTCCTCCTTAACTATCCTAGTTGTGCGGAGTGCACAAAAAGGATTAGATCTATAAACGCCTAAACGAAACTTAAGTATGGAGAAACCTACGTTTATTGTTGTCATTCGCGTCAATAACAACTCGATTTTTTTTTAAAGTATTCATTCGACTGTCTCCTGTTAATGTATTCAACTAAGAATTACCTACCGTCACTAATGTTATAAATGCTAAGTTTACATGGATGGATGGATGTTTCTTAGCATTTGTAGCCTAAACTGCTTAATGGATATCGATGAAATTTGATATAGATACGGAAGTCTGGAAGAACACATAGGCTTAGTTTATTTTTTTTTTTCAATTTCGCGTGGACATAGTCGCAGCGAAAGCTAGTTAAAATATAAAAGGGGTCTTTACCACAGATCTCTGCAAAGTTTTTATGATAGAACATAGTTCCTTATAGTAGATATATGATAAAGCGATGTTATGCAGTTATCATCAGTATTCCTATTTCCTTTTTGTAAGGAATATTAAACGAATAAGCCTTGCATTTTAAGGGCTGGGAAAGTATATTACGCATGCTGGAAACCCGATAGCTCGGCCACACGTGCTCTCGCTATGAATGGGCCCGCGCGCAGCGGGGGTGGCGTGCCCGGGGAGCGGGCGGGACGGGCGGGGGAACGCCGCGGGGAGAAGGCTTTTTTCAGGCAGTGCATTACGGGCCACGGGTGAAGGCGGGTGTCCCGTACCGACGGGCTTTCAAGTAGTTTACATTTTTACAAAAAATATATACATCCTTGTCGTTTACGATCGTGGATTCCGGTTAATTCGAAAGGTTAGTCCGGCTATAAAACGCATTATAATACTTTATCATTCGGTCAATTTTAATTTAATATTCATACATTCACGGATCGTGTATTTGTAATAGTTGTGAATATTCATCCGTTAAATATGTAAATAATTAATCTCTGTTATTGTAACAGAATACATCACAATGGATCCAGCGCCGTTGTCGAAGACGGCTAAGTACAAGAAGATAACAAAGCCGCTTTTGGAGAGGAAGCGGCGCGCGCGCATCAACCGCTGCCTCGACGAGCTCAAGGACCTCATGGTGGGCGCTTTAGAGGTACGTTTAGTGTTTTTTTATGATTATTCCATAATTTAAAGTCTGTCTTGATATAATTAATTCCAGACTAAGGAATTTAATGTGATCTAATGATACAAATTTTATTATAAATAAACATAACTTATGCTACATAAATATTTTTAAATTACATGAATGTCATGAATAAATATCATTAAATTCATGACATTCATCATTTTTGAAGCACAATTATTAATTAGCAAGCGTTCACAGTTCGAGACTGTATTATTAATTAAAAAAAAAAAACGTTCATCATTTAAAATGTAATCCATCCTCCATTCACACGCCGTTTATTTTTTATTGCGACCGGTCGTCCTTCTTATAACTCGGATATGTACAGAGCGAGCGAAACTGGAATACAAAAGTGCAGGCAATTAATAAACAGGACGATCCGCTCGACGCCGAGAACAGTTATATTAATATGAGGCCTCTCCTAGCTAACGCGAGAAACAGTGCACCTGCTTCATTTAATGTGTTCTCTCCTTTACAGATCGATGACGACAACTTGAGCAAGCTCGAAAAGGCCGATATTCTCGAGCTAACAGTAAACCATCTCACGAAACTCCACACCCCTAAAGACCCAGTGTTAGAAGCGAAGAAGTTTCAAGCAGGATTCGGCCAATGCGCTGCCGAAGCATGCAGATTCATCATGTCGGTGCCGGATTTAGACGAGAAAGTCAGTCAGAATCTGATCAGTCACTTGTCAAGGCTGATCACGTCTCAGCCGCTGACTATACATGTGCCGGAAAGACCGCCTTTTTCACCGCCCACCTCCCCGTCTTCAGTTTTATCAGACCGCCATCATTACTACAGCGATCACGACCGATCCTCCTCCGATGCAGAAGATTCAGTCTATTCTGGAGATGGAGCGAAACAGTGGTCTTATTCTAGACAGGCCAGAGCACAGCCTAAGCCCTACCCAATGGCAGGCCTTCTTACGACAGTCGATAAAATGCAACAGCCTCCACAAGAGCACAGTTCCGGACGTAATGGCTACTTCAATAGAGTCCCAGCAGAAGCGAAAGATGCGATCTTACAGAAAATAAGACAGCACATTATGGACAAACGGGGAAACGAACACAACGCAATTGTTGACTTCAACGAGCAACCGGAAGCAAAATATTTGCCCCCAGAAGACGCATACAGAGCTGAATACGAATATCAAATGGCGTCCTATCCTAGCAACAACGACACACTAGACTTAAGAAAGATAAAGTCACCAGCTTCAGTGAGCGAGGTCGCACATTCGCCGAAAAACTTTGAACAACGCAACGTCAATGAAGAATCGACGGTTCAAAGTAAACCCAATGCGGCCAGTCTTCCGGAACATTGCGAATCGCCGATGGATTATAGTAACTTGCCGCCAAAAAAGAAAAGGAAACTGATCGAGTACCAAGAGTACAAAAAACAGGAGGAGGCTAAACGACAACTTGACGCTTTTTATGCCGAGAAAAAAGATCACCTTCGGCCGGGACCTCCGGCGGACGACTTGGACGTCAACAAATGGCGCCCGTGGTAACAGTCATAATGTCATTATTATTGTGATATTTCTTCCATTATAAAGCTTTAATTTGTTTAAGTTTATATAATAATGTTTTAATTAGTATAAGACTCAATGTAGTGCCTTAATAATTTTAAGCCAGTTAAGACGGGTTGTAATTACATCGCCGTGCCATTTATTTGATCTCGTCTTCCTTAAAATTTAAGATTTTTTTTGTAATCTTCCAAAACAAGATTGATCTACGTTTTATTGACTATAATTTATTTCAACCTCGCCTTCATAAATATTGAAGGTTTACTTATTACTATTTATGACATATGTTATATCAGTGTGATTATATATTGAGAAATAAAATTGATATGATAAAATAAAAACTACTTTTCTTTAAAAAATATTGACTTTCTTTTGTTACTTGTTTTACTACACCCTTAATTTCCTTCACTGTTGGTCAAAATCTAAAAAACAAGCAATTTAAACAATCACTTCCTACATAGTACAATACAATTTGTAATTTTCTTTTAGTTGGTATAACTGTTATTGTAATTGTTAATCTCTTGTTTTTCAATAAAGTTATTTCTATTTTTAATAGGTCAACAGACTTGTGGTTTTTAGTTAGCCCTTTCTTTTTTTATAATACACTACCACTGCCAACACAGTGCAGTGTTACAAATTTAAAGTTTTAATTTATCCTTTCCTTTTTACTAGGTCCGATGTTGATTTCTAGTAATATAATTATTTAATGAATTTACCAATAGACGTAATTAATATGCGAAATTACTTTAAAGTATGTATTTAAAACTAATGGCTTAGTGATCATGCTTTAATGTCCTAATTAACAATATTATAATTTTTACGATAATTACTCCGTACTGATTTACATACTCCGAAATATTTACTTTGATTGATACATTTAATGTAGTATAATTACGATCTTAGTCTAATATTAAATAAATTATCAAAAGTTAACAATAATTTGTTTTTAATAAGCAATTAAAATTCACAAAAATCAAATGAAGGTATTCAAAGATTCAAACACGACGCTCAGTGACATCTATTAGACATGATTAACAAATAATACTTTTTAATTATTGGATTCAAAAACCACGCCATCTATGATAAACTTATGGAACTATAATTAAATTTCTCTTTCTGAAATTCTTCTGAGCGACATCTATTATCAAATGTTCGAACTAAGAAAAATAGTTTAGCTTTTCACCCAACAGATGGCACGCTAAAAAAATTGTAAAAAAGTGGAAGTTAAGAAAACGTGAAATCAATATATTTTAAAGATTTTACGCTGTGTTATTAATTTACACCTAATTTTATTTAATAAGAATAAATGAAAACAAAACAGTCTCACAGTTTTGTTTTAATATTTCATCTTTAAACTACATAAAAAAAAACAATTTATAATGAGTAAATGAATAAATTTATACTGACGCAAAAGTTTAGTTTTCTTGTTACAAAAAAAAACTGTGTTTGTTTTCAATTTTGTTTCAACATACCTCGAGAAAAGTTTTTACTACTCGTTGATAGATGGCGGTAGTAGTGACTTTAATTGAATCTGGATTGTTTATTATTGTTCAAAAGTAGCTGGGTGGTGGGGAGCACAAATCAACCTCACGCATGCTTTTTCATTCATTGATACGTCAGCTGGTCGAGCAGCGAGGTTCCTCAGTGGCTTGCGAAAACTCGCGTGCGATAGACTAGATGCGTTACGCGCAAAATGTAACGATAAATTTCGAATTTTAAAAACAAACGAACTGTCAGATTTGACGTTATATTTAAATTATTTGACAACTAGACATTGTTGTTTGTTGGTTGCTTTTTATGTGAATAAAGTGATGTTTTGTGTGTTGTGAGGTGTTTGATTTTGAAAATGTTGTGGTGAATCGGGCGATGCTTGTTGGTGAGCAGTCGCCGGCGCCGCGAGTGGTCGCCGGCTTGCGAAAACTGCGCCCTGAGCTCACACCCGGACCATTTCCGACGCCCGCTGACCCTGACTTCAGGATATCAGGTCGGTTTACTTCGGAATACTAAATGTTAGTACGTTATACGATCTAGAATAATTTAGTAGATGAAATGATAAATATCCGAATTGTTTACTATATGTAAGATATGGATCTGATTTTTATTCCATAATAATTGTATTATACGTAGCAACTCTGATTAGATATCTTTTATATTTCTTGTGTTTACTTTTATAAAATTTTAATTAGTACTCTAGAAATAACAAATAGGTTATATTTTGCTTTGATAAAAGATCAGCTATCTGCTAAAATGCAAACCGAAAGTGTGTCAACATGGACCAAAATAAATATTTATAATCTGTGTGTGTGTGTGGCTACTCTTTACAAAACTGTAATATCTACATTATTACTAAATCTACTGCACCAAAAGCAATATTTACATACTGCTGTTATACAAATTTTTCGCTTTAGACTTTTTCGTTTTTCCTTATAAGTGGAATTGGTTCATCGACAAATGGTGTGACCACTTAATAACTATTGTTTACATGACACCAAAGTAAGGCGCTTGGCTTGATTTACCTCGTTTTATGTATAAGAGCGAAATGACCATATTTGGTTATAATTTCTAAGCAAGATTTAAACACAAGTTTCAGTTTTTACTATTTTTATGATAATGTTCGTAAATTAATTCAATTGAAGATAAAATACGACGAACTACTAAATATGTAATACTCGATAAGCTTAAGAATTACTAGGTAATTAAACCCCGGTATTACTAGGTTAAATTTTTCTCATATAATCACCTTTTACAATAGACTGAAGCCTAATTCCCTTATGTTTCCAATGCTCTGCTAATAATGATTGTACGTCTATCTGCAACTATAGTTCTAGTTTAAAAATATAATAAAGAGAGCACACCTAGGGTTACCTGGTACGCGGTGGCGGGTGCTTTTTAGGGCTCATTTTGTTTAAAAGTTAAACAAAATGAGCCCTAAAAAGTAAACAACACTATGTAGCCCTTTGATCGTTATTTGTTTTACATGACCTTGACCAAAGACTTTAATGTCAAACCCATAACTCTTCGAGTTCGTGTCATACTACGTGAAGTGGCAGCCCTACGCATATCCTAATATCAGTCGATGTAGTAGTACAATCTGCAATTTGATGCGTTATCGTGTTCGGATGTTATGTGAAGTTGGCACTAGTTGGTCTGCGCCTTTATGTTTACTGGCTGTTCCAGTGTGGCTTCATCCGCGTGGAATTATCAAAAAGTTTATAATGTTGTTTACATTCGTCAAATTCTCAATTGCCTATGTCAAAATTACCGTTACCATACCTTGCTTCCTTTATGTTGGCAGCTAGTAGTTTGTTTCCTTTCCCACATGACTGTTTATTTCCAATTTTTTAACCCCCTTAGCGTGAAAATATATAACGTAAAGCGTAGTGTAATTGTAGGGCTCGGTAGGGATTGCTGACATCCTACGCCGCGAAGTAATGTGTTATAAAATTAGTGAGTGAGTTTTTTAATGTAAACTTTTTTTGCATATATCTTCATTATTCATTGTGACACAAATAAAAGTCGATGACTTTATGCAAATATCGAAGCAATAATCCACCTCGAAGTTTTTAAAACGTTAACGATTTTAGTTCGAAATTAAATAATCGATAGCAATCGATACGTACAGTCTATTGTTTAGTGTGATTAAAATCTCTTGCAAAACTTCGGTCCGAAATTTTTCTGTTTTACTTTACTAGCAACACACAGCAAGCGGTGCGTGCGCGTTTCTATATATTGCTTAAAGAATGTTTATTATAGATATTGGTATCAGCAGTCAAAGAGACGACGCCAGTGTCAATATTGTACCAGTCTATACCTCCGACATTGATAACGAAAGAATCTATGAGAAGTTAAACGAAAGGGAATTACGAGATATGTCAAGGTTAAATATCGCTGCATTTCAAATTCACACAGAACTTTTGAGCTGTCGTTTGTCTTTTGGTTTCATTTATGATCGGAATACGATACTGATGATGGTATTTTAAAAATAATTGAATACTTCGATTCTTTTACGCGATTGGCGTCAAGTTATCTTTATTATAATAATAGTCATTTGTTTAGTCTGCAGACCTTACACCGACATATTCAGTATCATCTCATAATATTATTTATTGAATACTAGCTTTCGCCCGTGAATCCGTCTGCGTTGAATTAACAAAAAAACAAAAGCGAGTTGCCTATTTGTTCTTCTAGACTATCCTCTACATCTATACCATATTTCATTAAGATCCGTTCATCTGTTTATGCTACAAACTCTAACAAATGTCCATCCATCCATCTAAACTTTCACATTTATAATATTAGTATGAAGTATGACTAGTAAGATAATTCTTTTGGTAATTATTATCTGTTATATGACAATCTTCATCACTAGCTCATTATACGTGCCTACTGAGGGGCTAAGAGCGTACACTAAGTTAGGGGTGACTACGCTATAGTTAAACACGCTGCACAGCGGGTTGACTTCAAACATTCTTTGAATTTTTCGCAGATATGTGCAGGTTATATACCATCATCATCATCACCAGATACTATATTATATATAGTATACTGTACTATACTCACAGGGGCTTCGAGCCCCTCGGTGGGGACGTATATAGGTTATATAGGTTATATATGCCGATGAAAAAATGTAATTTTGCTTTTATTACATGAAAATGTTTGGTACTTTAAAATTTTAAGAAACCAGTAGCGAACTACTCAAAACAATCATTTTAGTCAAGTTTATGTTCTATTGACGTATAATATCTATTATTTTAGTTGCATTTTCCTTCCTCTTATACAAGCATCATTGTTAGAGAATATGGCTATATTTACTCAATAAAAAGTTCATTTAAAACCACAATCCTATAAAATATTTATGTGATGTCTATATAAATTTGCTATCCGCAGTTACGTGTTGTAGTATGATGCTGGTTTCCCATAACGGCCCTTCAAATTTACTTTCTCCGTCACTTTCGACTTTATGACCATAGTTTGCGTAATATTGTTTGTTATGGAAATTATATTCTATTGTAAATATTAAGTAATATGTAAAGACTTTACTAATGTTTGTTTTAGTAGAAATCTGTTGATGTCTTGTAATTTTAAAGCAGGGCCTGTCCCACTAAATTGTAAATTGTCTGATTACAATCAAACGTTTAAAATATATGATGGAAATATCGGATTTTGTTCCCTTATCTGACAGTGACGTGATTTAAAACTATCAGCTCTATCAGCCAGTGGTGGGACAGGCCCTTATTCTTACTAATATTATAAATGCGAAAATTTAGATGGATGGATGTTTGTTAGGGTTTACAGCCTAAACCGCTGAAACGGATTTCGATGGAATTTAGAAAAATATAGAACTTAGTCTAGAAGGATATAGAATACTAATTAAGTTTTTTTTTTAAATTCCGCGGGGTCGCAGTCGCAGTTAGTATTTTAATAAATGTTACGTCTCATACGTCGTTAGTATATTATTTTTATCATTTCTATAATTATCAAGATTATTTTCAACAAATAAAAGAAAAGAACCAGTATAGAAAAGAAAGCACGCATGCGAAGTCGCGGACAGCAACTCGTTTTCTAATTAAGGTCGAGGCACAGATAATACAATGCTATGTTAAAGAACATTTGCTATATATACGTATATAATTGTTATCTAATGTTGAGGTCGTGATGTAGTACAAATATAGGAGACATTGAAAAACTTCATTGACGTAGTCGCCGATAATCTTATTATTCGTTTAGCGACTGCCTCGCCGGCTGTGATTACACTAATTTAATTCATATATACAAGGTGAATAAAAGACGTCAGACACGTTAGAGGTGAAGACATTAAGTGGTAATAAGTTTTAAATACAGATTAAAAAAGAATGTAAAACCAGTAAACCAAGTTGAATTTAACAGTATTGGATACTATAAAGCCCGCTATACACGTCCAGTTCTAACTAAAAGTGAAAAGCGGGCCATTGACTGTTAAAACTCAACACTTACTTTAGTAATTTATCATTTGATTTATCAAAACGCATTTGGGATATTTATCTATCCCCAAGCAAGATGAGCTTGTGTTTGTTTTAGTATTGTTTTTACTTTCTCAGATCTTTTGTTAAACTCGGTTACATCTGCTAACAATATGCACGACCCAAACTTTAAATTTATATCCAAGAATATAAAAAACCTGGTTGATCGCGCTTCAATAGGCTTCTTTATTACTTCACTATCTAATGTACGTGAAAAATTAGTTTCATAACTTTCCACAATATGCTTTATAATACAGACCAAACTAAATGTAATTTGGAACAATGAAGATTTGTTATATTACTGATATATCTTTAGATAAAACAGCCTTTTCTCTATTTTTAATGTAAGACCAACGTAAAGTCGCATCGCGAAAATAAAAAAGATACTCTGCCTTTTTATAAAATCCATTTGACGGGACATCTGTGACGTTTTCATCATTAGTTAACCCATCCCTCATGTTTCAAATAAGAAGAGTTACTTAATAATCTTTATTCTTTCACCAGGCGTTCTCCGGCAATATTACAATGAGGATGAGGGTTCGTGGGCGTGGGTGCGTGCGGCGGTGCGCGGAGGCTGCCTCCTTGCGTGGCGAGAGGGAACATTGCCCCGTCGGCCTGCGGCTCGACTGCCCCTCCGACATCTACACCTGCGTGCTGGGGTTCTGCCCAACGCCTTCCAACTATCTAGACTGCGCGATGACGCTCCCGTCGCTACGTTTCAGGTAAAGAACTTTGACACCGCACAAATTAAGGCACCATGAAAGAGCAAGAACCACGGGCAATGTGGTTTGTTGCCACGTACGTATGTGAGATTGTAAATGCGATGATTCGAAATGAAGTGTGTAATCCGGGCTAAGAGATTGTCGATTTCTTAGTAGTATCTTGTAGATGAACAAAATGACTAAAGGCCTGTCCCACCACGGGCTGATAGAGGCTCAGATAGCTTAAAAAGAACGTTACTGACAGATAAGGTAACAAAGTCCGATATTTCCGGTTATCACACAATTTACAATTTGATGGGACAGGCTCTAAGTCCGTAGAAAGTACAGCCTAATAAGCAACAAAATACTATTGTCAAATGTCAAATTATTTATACTAAACCAGAGTAAGACAGGGAATGTATTTGAAAATCTTTGCCAGCTTTAACGTTTATTAACGTTTTCGACGCCGTTTAGATTTATTTGATAATCGTCTCATGAAACCTCATTAGCCAACCATATTGTAAATACTATTGTTATATAAACAAAAACAAAGATATAAAATAATTTGTCTCTACGTCTCAGGGTCGTGTTTTTCTATAAAGTGTAAATGTTTACTATTGTGTGGAGCGTTGGCGTCATGTAACGACTGCTAACAGTTGCAAATTTATGAAAGCATTGTCTCAATACAATGACTAGCGTCTGTATATTATCATACAAAAACGTATGGCCTTATAAGTAGAATATTTACATTGATTTTCTTGAAGGGGTAAAAACCGTACTAAAATTGAAGAGGGAATATTTTTTGTAAGACATGAAAAAAATTTAAGACTGAAACAAGAAGTAATGAACTAAGTTTTGAATGTATTGGAAGATGGTAAATTTACTTAGTTGTTTTATAAATTATCTGAATATTATGAACTTTGAATTATGGAATCGTCCGTTTGTGAAATATTTCCTTGACTTGCTTGATTCAATGTTATAAAGAGGAAAGATTTGTATTTTTGTGTGTATTGAAATAACTCAAAAGCTACTGGGCCAATTTCTAAAATTCTTTCACCATGTTTTTTCAACAGCTAGATATATAATAATTGCATAATATTTAATTGGTGACAAGTTTTCGTATTTTAGCAGATGTATACTTGTCAAGTTACTTCTAAATAAGGAAGATCTTTTATCTGTGACGAAGTTATTAGCAGACATGTATGTGCTGTTATTGTGTAATGAAATGCAATCGTTTTTACGTAACACACGTTTGTATGTTTGCACTAATACTGAAAATAGCACGCATATGTTACGGTGTCAATAAAATTATGTTAGTGTTGAAAGATGTAATAGACGTTTAGACCTGACGTTACCTTAAATATAATTCATCATAGCATTAAAACTTAAGGTCATTGATTCGGATACACCTTTCGCCCATTGTTGTCAATCAGCTCGCAGCGCTTTACCTTTGTTGCAATATGTCTTTGAAACGCTATTAAATTTTAAGTAATTCGTAAAAAATACTCGATTATTACAAAATACGATTTCAATCTTGAAACGGGAGTATCGCCTTATCTATGAATAGATATGTTTTTTATATAAAACATTTTGCTCACAAAGGAGATAGCAAGGGGCAAGTTGTTGTCGACGATTGGGTCCCCTTGGCAGCGGACCTTTCTCACGCGACCCGCGTTTTATAGACCTTGATGTAACGGAGCAGACGTAAATCATAGAGGCTTTGTGTATGGTGAAGCGGTGACCTTTTGATGGCCGTATTTACCATATGAAGGGCTAGATCGCGAAGGTGTCGACATAAAATGGCCAAATTGAATAGAACCCTCCATGTAAACTTACCAAGTTAAACGCTTCTAGAGTTCTTTTGTAGGCGACTTTTTTTTAGAGAAATTTGGTCCTTGGATTTCGTTTTAAGTTTTTACATTTGTGATACATGTCACAGCATTTCATATATATCAAAATCTCATTTTAAACTTCTCTCGTAACAGGCTTGTAACGAGACGGAATATGCGCGCTGGGTCCGAGCGCTGTGCGTCGAGATCCTCGGCCAGACTCCGCTGCCGCAGGTGCGCTTCCTGGAC